CAACCATTCCCCCTCATCCTATCACTACAGGCCCTTGTAAAAAGTCCCCTTCCTGCCTTCTTTTAGGCTCCCTTCAGGTACTGGAAGGCCGCTATAAGGTCTCCCCAGAGCCTTTGCTTTTCCAGGCTGAACAAGCCCAACTCTCTCAGCCTGGCCTCATAGGAAAGGTGTTCCAACCCTCTGACCAGCTTGGTAGCCCTCCTCTGGACTTGCTCCAACAGCTCCATGTCTTTCTTGTGTTGAGGGTTTCAGAGCTGGATGCAGTATTCCAGGTGGGGTCTCACGAGGGCAGAGTAGAGGGGCAGAAACACCTCCCTCGACCTGCTGGCCACGCTGCTTTTGATGCAGCCCAGGATACGGTTGGCTTTTTTGGCTGCGAGCGCATATTGCTGGCTCATGTTCATCCTATTATCCACCAGCATGTCCAAGTCCTCCTCCCCAGGGCTGCTCTCAATCCACTCATCGCCCATCCTGTATCTGTGCTTGGGATTGTCTCGACCCAGGTGCAGGACCTTGCCCTTGGCCTTGTTGAACTCCATGAGGTTTGCACAGGCGCACTTCTCCAGCCTGTCAAGGTCCCTCTGGATGGCCTCCCTTCCCTCCAGTGTGTCCACCTTACCACACAACTTGGTGTCATTGGCAAACTTGCTGAGCGTGCACTCGATGCCTCTGTCCATGTCACTGACAAAGATGTTAAATATCTCCGGTCCCAGCACCAGTCCCTGCGGAGCCCCACTTGTCACTGGTCTCCACTCGGGCATCGAGCCATTGATCGCAACTCTTTTTGAGTGTGACCTTCCAGCCAATTTCTTATCCACGGAGTGGTCAGTCTATCAAATCCATGTCTTTCCAATTTGGAGACCAGGATGTTGTGTGGGACAGTGTTGTAGGCTTTGCACAAGTCCAGATAGGTGACATCAGTTGCTCTTCCCTTGTCAATTGATAACACAACAGTTCCCTCTCTAAAGCAACAGGTATTCTGGGTGATGACCAAAACCATACTGACCTTTGGTCAGAAGGTCTAAACTCCTCCCTGCAAATATTTTCCATATCTTACATGTCAGGGTGACTTTTACACTGGTATTTATTTGGAGATGAAACTATTGCATCCAGTGCTTACCTTTGGGTAGGTGGAAAAGGATCCCAACAAATTGTTGAGGAGGACAGGAGAAGGACCTTATGATGAAAATTTAAGGTGAAATTCTCCATGGCTACAGCTGCATAAATTCTGCTAAATCCATTGAAACAAAGAAAATTTCAGCATTAACTTTTCAAGATAATTCAGCAGCAAATCTGGTCTTAATGGGTTGAGTAAACCTAAGTACTTTCTGGACTAGAGGTGTGAGTTTTCATTTCAACAGTAACAGATTTATTGGTGATTTAGGGGAGAAAATGTTGTGGTCTTTGGCTCAACAGAACTTAAAAGCTATTTTGATTTGTTAAAGTACGCCCATCACTGCAGTGTATCTACCTATGTTTGATTTCAGGGAAAAAAAATCTATAAATAACAGAGGGACTTCAAAGCACTATAATATTAATTGTCTTCTGATTTTACCCGTATAAAAGGAAAAAATGCCATGCACACACATAAAGAAAGAAAAGAAAGTATAAAAAAAAAAATCAAAGCTGAGAAAAGGCAGAAATAATAGAAAAGCTGTCTTTGATTTTTTAAAAGTGCTTTTGTAGTCTATCTGAAAAAAACCCTCAACCTATAATTTTGAAAACGTCCAGGATTTGGTGCCTCTGTTTCCCGTCCTCCCCAAGGAGGACCACAGGAGGAGTGTTTATAATATGTGTTTCCAGTGGCATAGGTACGTTACTGTGCGATTAATAGAGCACAGGTAGAAAACGCATTGGAGACATGAATTTGGCCTTGCTGAAAAGCCGGCGTGCTTGCCCTTGGCTGCACTGGGACGTGGGCTGCACTGTTGCAGCCTTTGCTGTGGATCTCTTTGTGCCTGCATCGAGTGACGCTTAGCTTAGCAGCAATTTTGGGGCTTGCAAGTATCTGAGCACAGATTTGCAAGGGCAATAATGAGCTCAAAGCCCACTGAAATCAGTGGACACCAGGTCCCTTACAGCCGTGGTAGACCCAGCCTTTGGACCACCCACACCAGGGCTTTGTTCACTTGGAATTTGGGAAAGTGTAACACGGTAGGTGAATCCCACAAGGGAAGTGATGGGAGAGGGCTGCAATGGCATGGGGTGAGGCAGCTTGCAGTGCCAGGGGATGCTGTGTCACCCATGGTGGTGTCTGTCATCAAGTCCATGGAAGGATGATGGTTCATGGAGCCAGACTAGTCCTTGGAGACATCCTTGGAGACAGCATGCTGACTTTTTCCCCCTTGCTCTGGTCAATCCTCTGCATCCCACAGATGGCCACCTTTGGCAGTCAGGGGATATCATCCCTGATTTACGGGGTGGCAAGCCGAGGCACAGGGTTGGCAGCAAACTGCTTGACCTGGGAACAGCAGGAACCTGCAGCTGAGCAGAGACTGGGCTTCTCCCCAGTCCACTGCCTTGAAAACAATCCGTGCTAGATTTTCTTCCATAAGAGGTGCACTGAGAGGAATTCGCCCGAGGCACTGAGTACCACTATGAGCACAGGTCTGAGTCCACACCCCAGTGTAATGGTTTTGTTCTTTCTGGTAGCAGCAAAAGCAGAATGAGCCCCTCTGCAACTGCGTTCCTGTAGAGTTAAGCCCTGCGTTGCACTTCTGGCAGCTGAATCTATAGGGGAGACTGGGCGGAGGCAGGCTTTGAATATTCAAGTTGCCCACTGCCTCCCCCCTCCCACTCTCAGTGGGTTATTTATTTATTTTGCTGGCTTTTTTACAAGTCTGCTTCTTTCCTGCAGGTTTCACCAAGTTAGGTTTCCAGGCAATCAGCGCTTGTTAAATATTCCACTGAGCATGATATTGCTCTCCTGTCTCTATACTGACGCTCAGCTGCGGTAATTTGCTGAACTCAGCTCTCGCATATGGGGATTTTTTAAAAATAACAAACCTATTAATAATAATAATTAAAAAACACTTGACAGGTGGGAACAGCACATCTAAATTGCTCTGTGTGCCCCAGCAGGAGGAGGGGTGTTCAGCCACTTTTTCTAATACCTTGTGCAGGCTGCCTGCAGGTGTTGGTGAGGCGGTGTTATCTAACCTGGCTTAGTGATGCTGAGGTGGCCACAGTGGCCTCTGGCTGTTAGGGCTCCCACCGTGATTGTGGGTTAGGGGACAGAGGTTTTCTCTTCCTCTCCACCCCAACCTTAACATGCAAGGATCTGAAGTGGGGGGAAATCATGGCTTTTGCCAAAATCCTGAAACTGGAGGTGGCAGGGATTGTGTTTCCAGGGAAAGTAACTCTTGGATTTGAGCAGGAGCTCCAGAAGGGGAGTGCCAGCCTTACCCACTCTGGTCTGAGATAAACCCCCATTTTTTTCAGGATTTCTGCTGGCAAAAAAAAAAGACAAACCCCATAGAGGGGGAATCCATTTCAAGCATCTGCCTTGAGGTGTCCTGTTCTCCTTCCAAAATAATCCCGCTCAACTCTTTCTCCCTGGAGCATTGTAATTCCAGCACTTGGTGGATTTGGGGTACACCAGTGCAGGCAGCAGGCACTTGGCAATAGGCATAGATACTCCAAGCCCTCCTGGGTGGGAAGGGCTTGTGGTTTCTCATCAAGAAAGTTTCATCAGAGAAATGCAGCCCTTTGGCTGAATGTCCTCAGATATCTGGGGGTGGTGCTGTGAGACCCCTCTGGGTTCCTGCCAGCTGGGCCGGTGGCTCCCGAGCACCCAGATTCCCCAGGGATCCTGCCTTTTGGAGATGTCTTGACTGGGGTCTGGGCCAGGGATGTGGTTTTCCAGACTTCCAGGCTTTTTGCTGGAGCTTTGGGAGCCTGGGAGACCAGGGAAACCTGTCAGTAAGGATCTGGAGATAGCAGAGGCTTCAAGGTTGTTAGACTGCAGGGTGTCTACCCTCTTACGCCAGTGGGAGGTTTGAAGGTTTTTTCTAACCCAGGCCAGAAGGCAGACTCAGGTGTGAAATTTGGAGGGATTTTAAATCCTGTGTGAAAAAGGAACCATGTTCAGGGTGAAGGCAAAGAAGTGTAAATGCTGGAAAAACCTGTACAACCTAACTGGCATTACCAAAACCCAAGTCAAGCACTTAGGAGATTTTTGGAATGCCCTGGGGTTTGTACTTCAAGAAGTCAGCCTTGTCCCTTTGCTGGGGCAGGATTTTAAGCATGTGTAATTCTGCTAACCTCTGTGCCATGCAAGAAAGGTGAAGAACAGGTCTAGACTTTATAATAATAATTACAAAAACCTTGGTGGCATAATTAGGGGAAGATTGTAGCTTTCAGCCATGTTTCACAGTGTCTGTCCACCTGGAGGGAGCTGTGAACGACATTCTCAAGCCTCTCTCTTTCATTAAATAAGCAGGCTCCAACACCGCTCTTATTCTCTCGGCAGTCTCTGAAATGCAATCAACTCATGGATAAAAACAGGAATTGTCCTGCCACGGCTGTGAGCTCTATAAAGATGAGTTTGAGCTGGGTAGTTTTCTCTGTGTTGGCCCTGCTGTTGGTGGACATGGTATCATCAGCCCCGGGAGAGGTGGTGGGGTGACGGCAGCTTTGCCCTAAGCCTTGTTAGGAAACTTGGTGTGATGTGTGGGTTGCTGAAAAGACTGTTTCTCCTGGCTTTACGTGGTGCTCTGCTTTTGTTCACAGAGGTGGTAAGGGTGAATCTCAGCTATTTCCCAGGAATACCAGGGGCTTGGCTCTTAGCTCAGGCTACAGGGAGCTGATAGCCTGGCACTGTAGGTTACTGGGGGTTGGTGGGAGGTGGTTTCTGGGTCTTATCAAGTGTGCCCTTTTTGGAAATCCAAGCCTCGTCTTCTGTGCTTTGAGAGGGATTGGTTCCTAAGCTTTCTTGCCCAGTTTGCTGGGTTGTTGAGTTGGTAAAGCACTGTCATGGATTTTCTCTCTTCATCCTTTAGCGTGCTGAACCAAGTGCACCTCGTCCATGAAATCATACTAGTGGATGACTTCAGTGATGATCGTAAGTGACCCTTTCTATGTTAAAAGCGAGGGGCCAAACTGAAAGAGACTGTGAGAGACTGTGATTTACGCAGAGAGGGGGGAAAAGTTTGTCAAAGTGGAAAGAAATTTAAAGCTCTGTAGGTGTGGAGAGCAAACTGCGCTGTGCCATGTTTGCATCGCCACGTGGAGAATTCAAATTCCAAATGATGAACCCTCTTCTTATGAAAATAATACAAGAAGAGTGCATGACAAATAATTTTTATGCCCAGTAGACATGAATCCAGTTCTTCCCTGGTTGTATCCTGCCGCAGCTGTGGTGTGTTTAATGTGGCTTTTAGCTGCAATTCTGGGGTGATGCCACTGGAATGGCACAGGATAATGATAGTCTGGCCCTCCTGATATGTGGATGTGTTCTGCATACGTTTATGTATGTGGCCAGCAGCTCTTGATTTATTCTTTTTCACCACCTTTTTCACCCATGTAAAGAGGATTTCCTGCATGGGTTGCCCATTTCTGAGATGCACCATAATAGCACTGTACACCACAGACAGCCCATGTCCTCCTGCCATTCTCTTCTGGTTAATAGCATGACTCAAGTGAAATCAATAGGTCTGAGCTCCAGCAGGAGCTGGTAGCTGTAGCCCTAGGGGCTCCCAGTTAACCACAGCAGCTAAAGACCTTGCCTGGTGAGACAGACAAGTGGAAGATCTAGGTGCTGAGAGCAAGTGCTCAAAAAGATTGTCTCAGGCATGAAAAGGATGATAAAATACACCTAGGCTGAGCGGTCCGTGGCACTTACATTTCAAGGAGCTGCAAAAGGTAGCCATTTACTAGGAAACGTGAAAACAAAGCCAGAGAGGATTCAAAAAAAGAGGATCTATGCTTTGCTCTTGGATGTTATAAATAGGCACTGCCTCAGAGAGCATTAGGGACAGATTTCACATGAGACCCACTTCTCAGCATCGACGCCTCCCTGGGGAGTCGCTGAAGCCAGGGCAAGGGGTTGCAGTGATTACTGTGAGCTTTGGAGTAACTCCAGCACATGGGAGGCCAGGCTAGGTAAGCCTGGGGACTGGCAGAGTGGCTGCAACGGGGAAAAGGAGCAGGTGCAAGGACTCGAGCTGCCCTGGTGTACAGTAGAATAGGCTTTTTGAAGGGTGGAGGAAGTAGATGCCCAATATTTGGCTAAATAGGCAAAACACTTGCCTTCCTGAAAGGAGAAAGGTTTGTAGAAATGCAGTTTCCCTCTCGCAGCATACCCAATGCTGTGCTCCTTGGAGAAGGAGGAGGGCTGGGTTTAAACTCCTTTCATTCTTGGGGCACCAGGGGGGAGCTTGTTTCCGGCCTAACTTAGAGCAGCCCCTTGGCAACTCTAAATCAGTGCTTCTCAGCTGTCTTACATCTCCTTTCCTATGATAGTCTGAGCCTGCTGGCATCTGGTCTGCATGCATTTACATAAAATACATGTATTTGCATAATATGCTACACACACGGTCAGTTTTTCCCTGCAACCCACCCCAAGCAATTGGTGCTTTTATCTTGTGCCTAGTTGTGTCTCATTTCTCACGTCTGTCTGTCCGCTGACCTTTATTCACTGGGCTGCAGTTGTTCTGCACATGGGTTCCAGCTCTTCCCAGCAAATTTCCATCATGGGTCTGTAGCCAACCTCTGCCACTTCTGCTCTTCTGGTGTGCGCAGAGGCAGTGCAGCTCTGTACCCAAGTTGTTAGGGATACCAGTATGGTGATGTTTCTTGTCAGCAAAGATTTCTGGAGGGGATGGAGGCACTCGAAGGTCCATGTAGGAGCACGAGATGGGTGGCAGGGATGGGGCACATGCATGTGTGTTTATAGTGCTAAGGAAGAAGAGGCAGAGAAGGGGTGAGAGGCACGAAGGGGTTGTGGAGGTCATGGCGTGAGTGTGTGGAGGTAGAGGGGGCTGTGATGGGTGTACTTGCCTGCGGACCCAGCTCTTGCTGGGAGAAATGCGGGTGAGGAGGGATGCTGGGGCTGCAGACAGCACCAGGGCAAGAGCAGTGGCAGCAACTGCTTGTGGGATTGCAGGACCTCACTGCCTTAGGTGTGGGTGGCTGTAGGGCCTTTCTGCCCCGTGGAGCTGCTGCTCAGGATGTGAGGAGCCCCCAGCTGCTCCACAGGGCTCTCTTTGACAATCCCTTTCTTCTCACTGAGCGGTCGCAGGCCACCTCAGGAGGCTCCTGCCCTACCTGGCAGACATGCATCAAACGGTTTATGTGTTGCTTTGCAGCTACCAAAAATAATCATTTGCATTAATGTGCAAAGACTCCGACTCTGACCTCAACCACAATTCTTCTATGCTGACTTTACAGTATAATTCAGCTGTTCATGGTGTAAATCTGCTGGGTCTATACTAGTGTTATGAAAACTGCTGCTCTGCCAGTCCTGATTTACACTGCTTGATCTGAGGGGTAAGACTGTTGAGCCCCAGCAGTGCCATTGCCCTAACAAGCCATCAGCCAGTCTGGGATGGGGTCCTCCCACGCTCGCCTAGAACCATTTCTGCTGCCAGAGCCACCATGAGGGCTGAGGGTGACATGTCCTCCCTTTGTTTTTCCCCAAGCTGATGACTGCCGCTTGTTGAGCAAGCTCCCCAAGGTGAAGTGCTTGCGGAATGGACAGCGAGAAGGTAAGAGCTGCCTGCCCACAACCCAGGTGGGAAACAGATTTTGGGAGGTGTGAGAGTGATGGAGGGGGGATCTCAGTGGAGTGGGCAACAGTGAGGTCAGTGGCTCTTGGAGACCAGGGCCCCTGATAAAAGGAGATGTGATAAAGGACTAGGAGTTGAAATGGATCCCCACTGTTTCACTGAAAAAGATGGGACTATTAAGATATCCAATGAGGCTCAGCTGTAGCTTATTAGCCAGAAAATTAGAACAGCCAAAACAAAGCCCCGGGTCTTACTTTTAAAGATGTTTGCTCTAATGAAAGAGAGGAGATCTGCTCCTACTGCTTCTGTGGGGAATTTTTTTTTTTTTTTAAAGAATTAATTATATTTGAAAGATTAAGAAGGGCTATATGGAGGATGAATGTATGCCCTACTGTGTTGCTGCTGAATGTATGCCCTACTGTGCTGCTGCTGGCAACCTTTTGAGATGTTTTCCAGCTCTCCATAGTCTGAATGGGTGTTTTCAAGTCCTGCTTTGCAGTATTAGGAATACAAAACCCAAGCTTTTTCATGCTGACAATTGAAAGCATGAATCCAGGTGTGTGTCGGGTTGGGGAGATTGAGGAGCAGAGAGGAGTTGTCTGTGAATTCTTTCTGCAGAAGGTTTCAGCTCCATAGGTCTGGTGTCTGGGTGGCATCACCCGCTCATGGGTATAAGAGACATATGTGTTGGCAGGAGAGTAGGGGAGGTCTCCATAGGTGTGCATCTCCTTCTTACTCTTCTTCCCTGTGTTATTGGGGTACATACATGCTCACCTCTAGCACTGGATGGACCTGGAGAAGTTAGTGCTCTATAAAGCAGTCAGGATTTGGAAATCCACCTGGAGGGCTTACCTCAGTAGGTCACTGAAGCTTTGTCCCTCAGAACCTGCCAGGATTTGGCGAGGGCTGGGGTGGGTACAGCAGACTGTGCCTACCCACAAGGTCTTAGAAGCTGCAGAGAGAGATATGGAGGCAACTTGTGTTGCAGGAGGTGACCTTGGCAAACGCTACATTGCTCCAGGCTTTGTTCTCCTCTCCCTCCTGCTCAGAGGCTGTTCCTTGGCCCCTTTCCTGTAAGGAGTTTTAATGTGAAAGTCAGTGATGACGTCCTGCGTGGACCAGAGGTGCAGCTGCTCCCGAAACCCTTCTGTCTCTCTTTATCTGCCCCTATCCCCCCTCATATTACTGCTTTTCTCCTTCATCAGGAAGCTCTACTCCCCTTGAGCAGCCTGCCTCTCCTCCTGTTTGCCAGTGGAACATCTCCTTTCTTACGTTGCGGTTCACTAGAGCGTTGGCTGCAGGCAGGAGGAGTGTTGGGAAGTCGGTTGACTCCTGTATAAATAGACACAGAGCATCTTTGAGAGCAGTGATCTTGTCAAAGAGTCCGGTGTGAAATCCGTGCTTGCAGCTGCTTTCCGTGACCTCCCTCTTTGTTCATTTTTCTCTGTCACAAGCACATGCAGCAATCCATCTCCAGCTCTGAAGGACTCTAATTTCACCGTCAGGGTCCTGATGAGCCCAGCAGGCTCTTAGCATCTTGAGAGCCGATTCTCTTTCTGTGGTGGAAAGCGTTTTCCCATTGAGCTGCAGATCAGCAGTGCCCTCAGGGTGGGAGTGAGATCTGGGGGTCACTGGGGCACAAAAAGAGGCACAAGGAAGGAAGGTCAGCAGTCTAAGAAAAGCGTAATTCTGGCACAAGATGATCCCACCCTCGACTCCCCTGGCCCATTCCCCGCTGACTTAGGTCTATGTTAGATTTAATACCTACAGTGGGTTATGGAAGCATTTCAAGTTGTGTTTTGCCCCAGAAGGTGACAGCAGAAATAATTGTGCAAATTAAGGGTTGACACAAATGCCATAAATCATTAATCTAGGTGGAGCCATTTCTTTACTTTAGTGACCTTAGGAAACAGTTGATGTGCCTTGCAGCACCAGGAAGGAGGCAATGAACCTGGGCCATGTTTTGTCCGAGTGGGATTTAAATGGGTCACAGCCCAGGAGGTGTGTGAGTTCAAGACACCATGCTGGAAGAGCCTGGGGACATTGTCCCATCCACCCAGGTGGCAGCTGACGTGGTGTGTCCCTGAACAGGTCTGATCCGGTCCCGAATCCGAGGGGCGGATGTGGCACAAGCAGGAGTCCTGACCTTCCTCGACAGTCACTGCGAGGTGAATAAGGACTGGCTGCTCCCTCTGCTGCAGAGGATCAAAGAGGTGAGTGATCCTGAGAAACCAAGGCCACTCTTGGGGGATGTGTCACTGATGTCCACCTCCTCTTCCCTCTCAATGGGCGTGACTACCAGATGCATGCAGGCATCCGAGCAAGAAAGCAATGAGCTTTTCGGGTGCAAAGTGGCCTTTGCTGGTCTTCCTCCAACCCAGCAGCCAGGTGGGGTTCTCTCTGTGACTGGGAGAGTGGGCGGGTGGGTGGGACAAGGTGCCTCCCAGGGCAGCGAGGCTCTAACCAGCAAGCACAGGTTGAGTGGTGAAAGGGGAATATGTGGGCAGTGCTCCAGCAGAGTTTTTAATTAGGCTCATGTAAAATGTTCAGCGCTGATGATTTAAGGGAGTGACGGCTCCTTGAATAGGGGCCGAATTTAATTTCATGCAAATTAAGCACTAATAAATTGATTTAATAGGATTTAAATTCTGCTGATTTCGGAGCAGACAATGACATTCGCCTTTCGCCGGCGGCGACTCCCTCACCAGACGTGCACTCAGAGGCTCCCGGCACCTTGTCACTTGAGTCAGAGGGAGCTCTGTGCTGGTGACCTGCTGGCATGGTGCAGGGGATCAAGCCTTCAGCTCCGGCACGATGTGTGGTCCTTTCCCTTCGCTGTACCTCGTTCCTCCACCCTTGCTACACCTCTGGCTCCTGATTGCTAGTATTTATTACTCAGTAATTTTAAAACTACTGAATTATGTTGAAATAAGGGCAGCTGAGGAGAAAGGGGAAGCCAAGGCAGTGGGTTATGGATAAACCTGCTCGGCTGGTGTTCACCATGCCCGTCATCCAAGGTGTCCTGCTTTTCGTGACAGCTGTGCTGGCTGAGCTGTGTGTCCCCTGTGTGCAGCCGCGATGGGACATGGGGAAGTGGGGGCACAGCACCAGGTCAGGTCCCTCTGCAGTGGGGGAGGGCAGTCGGTTCTGCTGGCGCATGTAGCGCAGCTAGCGCTGGAGGGGTCCTGATAAATGGTAATATAATGAAAATGGCCTTTTCAGATTATCGATCACAGCTCCGGTGGAATTCCGAGAACATGTACTATGATACCGCACTGGAGCTTCACAGCTGGCCTGCCCCGGGGAGGGTTTCACCACTAAAGTTTACTGCATTGGTTGTTCCTCTGAGCTTTTTTAAAGCAGGCATTCCCTGTTTTCTGCTGAAGCCCGACTGTATTTTGGTGAGGAATATCCAGAGCAGGCAGAGCTTTTGGTGTGTTTTGGCAGAAGGGCAGTAGTGATGGTGGCAGGACGGGGGCAGACAGAGCTGTTTTCCTGTGCAGCTCTGAGACTGTGCCCCATGTACAGCACCCATGGGGTAGGTTAATGTGGGTGACACATGCGGCATTGCCATAGGAGCGTCACTGCATTGTGGTCTGAATATAGCATCAAATGTATGCGTCACTTCTGCGAACTTCCTTTTATTTGCTCTTCTGGGTTAAATCTTTCTCTGGCTGGAAGTAAGGCGGTCTGTGAGCTTGCACTGCTGCTCATGCTGCTTTTACCCTAGCCGGTGTCTTGCAGCTCAGGCAGCAAGGGAGGCTTATTATGAAGAGGGACTTGCAAAGCAAGTGGGGTCCCGCTTACTTGCTCTTTAACTGCCTGCAAGAGCTGCAGGGTAAGGGCAGAGAGTCCTCGGTTTCCTTCTTCATAGGCCCACGGTATCCATGCTTTCCATCAGGGTTAAAATATTGATCAATGAAGTGTATGAAATGTTACTGCTGCCACCTTCAGGCTGTGCTAAAGAGATGGCTTCCCTGTCCGAGCACTGCGGTAGAGGGTTAGCTGCCTAGAAAGAGCATTTTCTTACCGTGTTACTCGTAGGAACAGTCTGCTTTGAGCTAATGTGATTTAAGCTTCAAGCAAAGGAGCCGTGAGTGGCTCTTGCCACCACCACCCATCCCGTATGTTGCTTCTCTTATTTTCTCAGGTAGAGTAGCTATTCCTGCAGCTTTCTGTGGTGGGAAACGCCAGACCCTGTGTGTGCCACCATGCACTGGCATGGACATATGTGAAGGTGCCCCTTGAGCTCCACGTCGAGCTTTCCCGGCAGCTGATGGCACCCCTCCCCAGGCCCACACTCACTTTTGGGCGTGGGTGGTGCGTTCCCAGCATGTGGGTTTGGAAACAAGAAGGACTAGAAAGCCTAAGAGCAAGTGAAGGGGTGTAGGGGAAAGAGAGGGGGGATCCAGGGGGTCCTGGACCTGTGCCTGGGAGGGTGCGTGTCTCAAGGAGCGTCAGCGACAGCGGGTGTTTTGCACCAGCATGTTTGTGAGCGTAAGACTGTGAGCGCGTGGGCATGGGCTCTTCTTTTTACTTACAGAACAAGTATCTCTAAAGCCATTAACGGTGCATTTCAATGGAATAACTTTTCTAAAAATATAATTATCCAGCCGAAGGCATTTTTACAGTGTGACTCAGCAAGCTCACCCCAAAACTAGATTTGCAAATGGCACTGGGATGAACCAGTGGATCTCCCCTAGTTTGATGCTGTCCTGGGAGAGGCAGATGAGGGGTAGCCTGGCCCTCTAGCCTTGCCTGATGCTGCTGTAGGGCCAGAGGAACAACCATGGCCCTTTTTGTGGACCATTACAAGGTCATGATGTAGAGGTTGGGAGACAAGCTGCACTCAAGGTCCTTTAACAGCGTTGAAACATATCCAATGTCTTCAAGACCATTTTCAGTTTTTTCCTGTGGAATTAGTTCCATAATTTGATTTGTTTGAGAAGTGTATTTTAAGAAATGCATTCTCAGGTTTTTGAGAATTTCACGTGAAAGGGGATTGAAGATTTGGGTGTTGTTAATATTAACATGACCTGGCATGGGAAAGTATGAGAAAAACAGAAAGGTGAAGCTGTCTATAATAAGATCTGGTGCTCAACGCAAAATAAATCACAGCAACAGCGCTGTGCTCTTGGGCATGCCATGCTTTTCTTTTGAGGGCCAAAGAGATCTTTATGAAAGTTGAATAAATATAAATGTCCCCATGACATGTCAGGGAAAGTGAGGCAGGGAGAAGGTTCCACTGCTGAAGGCTGCTAGCACTCCGCAGTAATGCACTCAGCCAAAAGGTAAAGGGGATTTTCTTGCAAGAAGTTGTGCTGTGCAATGAGTATAGGTGTGGAATTGAAACTGGGGACGAGTGTGGACTAGTTGGAAGTGCTCACCAGTAAGATGCTCGAGGGGCAAGTTTTAAATGACTAGATACAATTTTTTCCCTGCAGTGTTCAGCATGAAAAGTAGATGCTTTGCTTAAAACCTTTCCTCTGCCCTCAGCCAACTAAAGGAAACTACTGAACTGTGGCAGTTTGGGGGGCACTATGCAGCAGCTCCGATGGGTTTGAAAGGCTCATCGTGCTTGAATGTGACCTGAGTTTCTCCATGCAGTATGTAGGTACAGCACACCTTGCCCTTTCAGTGGGATGTTTGACTCGAAGGAAGTCATGTTAAGACTCCCGGCTTGACGTTGTTATGGAAATACCAAGTATTTGTTGTGCTTATTTGGAAAACCTGAGCTCTAGTCTAGCTCCCAGCTCATGGCCTTTGGTTGCTTCTTCCTACAGCTGCATTTGAATACTTCTTTGTTAGGACTAATTTCTAAAACAAAGTCTTTTCCAAGTGAGGGAGCAAGCCCGTGTGTGCTCAGATGCTTTCCTTTGCATGGCTGTGAAAAATGATTTAATCTGGCGAGGGTAAAAGCTTGAAGTTTGAGCTATAATTGGAGTTTGGGATTTTTGAAAAGAAAAAGGGAGATAAGAGACCAGTCAAAACTGTCAGAGTCTCTTCCTCCTGTAGATATTTTTGTTCATAACTGTTTGTATAATCTCTTTGCCCATAACAAGATGTTAATTAAATCACCACCAACTATTTAAAATAATTCTGGTCTTTTTTTTTTTAACCCTTTCACACCTTTGGCAAAATTCCTGTATCCCCATAGTTTGCACATTTAAAAATTGCCTGTATTTAAGCCGCTTGACTGGCCGTGTTTTTCCTCTGTCATTTCAACTGCCTGTTTGTTGCCTGACTTCTGAAATCCAGTAAAAAGTGTTTAAGGGAAGTGAAATGGGAGTGCGTTGGTAAATTTGCAAAAGGCAGACGGAGCTTTGCATCCAGCTGAGTGCGGCGCTGAGTTACACACACAGCCTGCAGAGGGAGAGACTGCGGGTGAACCCAAAGCCAGTGAGGGATGCTAGCTCAGCAGCCCAGCAGCACGCAGTCCTCTTTCCCAGAAGAGGCAGTGCCTGCCTTCCCAGCCTCTCTTAACAGTGTGCCCCTGCCTACCAGGAATACCTCTGCTTGGTGCTGCTGCCATTAATTCCTTGGTTGAACTGATGTGATGACTGAGGAGGAGGAGGCAGTGATGGGCACTTGTCCCTGGCAAACTTGAATGACAGCAAGATTTCCAGCCACCTGGTGTCTCCAGGAGTTTAAAGAGTCCCTTGACCAGTTTGAGAGGTGTGATCTGAAGTCATGGGTCGTTTTGCTTCTGCTTTCCAGGATCCCACACGAGTGGTCAGCCCCGTTATTGACATCATCAACTTGGACACTTTTGCCTATGTGGCAGCTTCCTCAGACCTCAGAGGAGGTAAGCCCAAGCTGCATGCATGCCCCGCAAGCATCCATCCTGTGGTGTGAACATGCACTGGCCCGAGGAGCTGGTAGCCCTGCATCACATCGCTGGCTCCTGCTACGCTGCAAAAAGTGCATTAGCACTGTTCAGTGCTCCCCGCTGGCTGTTTTCAGGCTATTTTAGAGACAGGTAAGCATGGTTTGAGGAATGGTGTTTGCTACAGTGGATAAGGCGGTCAAGCAGGAAAGAAGGGTCATGTTGAAGCCACCCTTGGCAGCACTGAAAGCCGGGCTGCTGACAAGAGGAGATGGGCGATGTCTAGGCAACAAATGGAGGATGCGACTGTAGTGCTTATTAGTATGCCTGTGCTATTTGTAGCACACAATATCCATCAGACCGTGTATCTGTGTGCACAAGGGGACAAAGTCAGGTTTCAGCAGCAGCTTTAATTCTGACTTTTCCTGCCTTTGGAGTGCTTGACTTTGCAATTGTAATGCAGTATGTTGTTACTTGTTCATATGCAGTAGTAAAATGTGTTAGTCACTGGACTCTTCTCTCAAGAACTGCATCTCCATGGCTTAAGTAATTTGAAAGTGGGGAAAATACTCCATGAAACACAGCTCCTGCAGCCTGCATTGCCTCCTAATCCACACCCATTTCGAATTTCCCCATGGTACTTCTCTACTTTGGTTTTAGGTTTTGACTGGAGTCTGCATTTCAAATGGGAGCAGCTTTCCCCAGAGCAGAAAGCCAAACGACTTGATCCCACCGAACCCATTAAGTAAGTCAAGAGAGGG